TACAAATGTACATGTATATTCTGCCTGTTTATGTGCTTTTGTATACTAATTTTCAACGTAATCAAAATTCAGCAATGAAATAAATTAATAAATAGTGTTGTAATGTGTAATGACGATCTCGAGATAACAAAATTAAGATGTTACGTTAAGCGTTTCACCAAAATGTCACATCGGCTCTTCATTCTGTTATTTGTGTGCTTTCAGATCATCCGAACAGTGAAAACGACGCGGAGATTGATGAAAAGGTAAATACAAGCCTTTAATAACGATAGAAACGTCGTCAAGACGATTATCGTCATTGACGTCGAACGTCAACGAGACAATTTGGTGTTATTACGACTCGGTGATAAGCGACACTCGAAACATGATCGGTAAAAAATTCTCCTTTACAATAAAAACCGATGGAGATTACAATTTTGGAGTGGACGACTTCGTTGCACAATCGTCGACCACCAGTGTTCCCAAAATTTGGAACGTAACGATATGTTGTAAGAATCTTTCATGAAAATTTACCGATCACCTTTGTTGTGGTTCGCAAAATATACTTCAAAGGTGGGAAGTATTTAAGTCCTCATTTATAGCTGCATAATTTACAGTTTTCGGATCAGTTGCTTTTTACGAGTCACACTCTTAACTCATTGCAGTTGATCAAGATAGGAGAAAGGATATATTGCAAGCTCGCCAGCAAATAGCATTATCACTTTGCAGTTCGTAAACAATGGCGCACAACTTTTCCTTTCGCTTCGAGATTGCTATTTACCATTCGAATTTTATCACGAAAAGATTAGCGAACTACGCTTAATAATGCTACACGGAATTGTGGTTTAGCAACGTTATAAGTATTAGACAATTTCTTACGCAAACACCGCGTATTTTGTTAAATAATATTGTTACAAAACGGGTAGAATGACTTTAAACGACCCGCAAAGTATTTCGCATCATCAGCGAAGCATACGTTCGTTTGTCGGGCAAAATCGATAAGATGAATAATTTATGTTTATGAACTAGCCGCTAACCCGCTGACTGTAAAATTGACTCGTTCACCGAGATAGTTGAAGTTTATGTAATCTCTGACGCGAGGTTCACCTTCGCTTTTATTTATTGACAGTCGTTTACAGTGCGGGTCGACGCCTCGTTCACGTATTTACACGGGTATTGCAATATTATGCATTTTGTAATAAAGTTTTCTGGGTCGTCCGTTTTATTGCCGTGTGGGTTTCTCGAAAAGAAAAGTTCTACAGACCGATCCACAAGTATAGCGCAGAGGTTACTGGATTCTTGAATGAAACCAAAACCAAGAAGTTCGGATTTATAATTCGCGTCAATGTTCTTCTTGCGATCCAAGACTTCGACATAATCAGTTAAAATATCGATGTTCGCTTTATCAAGTCTGAAATCTCTTGCGCAGCTACTATAGCATGAATGTAACATTCTTAAACGATAAAAATCATCGCTTCAAGTATTATAGCAAATATAATACTTGTTTGGTATTGTAGCACACGCCGTTGCGTTGTGGACCAGTTTCGAAGTACAGTGGCCCACAAAAGTGTTCGTACATCTTTTAAAATGCGATGAATACATAGCATTTTTAGAACTGGACTAAGCGACTTGAATTTTTTTTTGGATGATAGCGGGACTAGTCTACCAGACGATGACCAAAATGCTTTCTTTTAAATTTTGCTATTACTCGGAATGGCAAAAAAAGAGAACAAAAAGCTCTCGTTTACTAACCTTTTTTATCCGAGTCTGAACGAAAATTTAAAAAATGCATCTCGTAGATCTCGGTAACGTATACGCATGCTGAAAATTTTGTCGAAACCGGATGACGTTCTTATGAGTTACGACAAATTGAAGATGCCAAAAATCGCAGTTTTATCACGATTTAAACCAAAAACTGGAAGAAATCTGCAGTTTCCTTAAATCTTTTAACGCCTGTAGCTCGACTCTGGGTTAACCGATTCCGATCAAATTTTCAACACGCGTATAAATTACCGACATCTACGAGAGGCATTTCTTAAATGCTTCATATAGGCTCAGATAAAAAAGTTAAAAAACGAGAGTTTCTTATCTTTCTTTGTCATCCCAAGTATGTAATAGCAAAATTTAAAAAAGGCACTATAGTCATCGCCTAGTAGATTAGTCTCTGTATTATCTAAAAAGAACTTGAAGTCGCTTAGCTGATTTCGAAAAAAGTTATTACGTTTCAGAAGGTGTACGAACACTTTTGTGGGCCATTGTATGTACCTTGGACGGGAGAACCGGGAACAGATTTCACTTTTTTTCTTGACATTAAAATCATTCCATCGTATCGCTCGATACCTTGGAAACCATATTGCAAAAAAGACGTTGTCAGTTATACCGTTCGAGTCTCTATCGTATAAGATGCAAAACTTTTCCGAATTGCAATAGTATGTCAGTTCATTTAAGATAAAAATTGGCTTATCAAAACCGCAATTTCCGGGCAATCTAATAATGTTCTCAAGCTCGGGCGATGTCTGTGCAGGGATCTTGGCAGAATTCGCCGCCATTTTCCATCGAAAGGAAATAATATATCATCTTTTATCGTAGATATCGCGCGGCGCTAAGCCGCTCAGATGCGCCAATATTAAAAATCGTTGATTATCTTTCTTTTCATCGAAGCGATCGTATCTCGGTAATTGAATGCGCCCTTTGTTCCATTGTAACTATTATAATCTAGTTCCACGTGTAACAGCCACGAAAGTCGTGCAATATTTGTTACAATTAAAACGAATATCAGTTAATTGATACTTATCGAAGATACGAGCATCGCCGCGTATCCAACAATGAAATGGTCGCATTTCATCGTTGTTTCCACGAATTGTTATTCAATCCCGATTAGACGCGTCGAGGAAGCTGAGTCAAGGGTATATACTAGGAAGCGTGCGCGTTTTAGTGATAAAGAAAACAAGGACCGATGTTGTGTGGCGTTCAAGAGCGATTTTATACTCTGCAGACTTCGATGCTCTTCGGATCATTTTATGTTCCACAGTCGGGTGACATTGTTGTTTCGCTAACGCCACCTGTGTTTCACTCTCTAATTTTTCTGCTTCTTTTTCCCCTCTAAAACATGTCCGACCCCCGTTGCACAAGTAAAAAATATAAAGATCTGCGAAGCAGAACAAATAGAGGCGCAGGAGTTCTCCGGCAGGAAAATGTTCTTTTCTCAAAAAGTCTGAAAATCCGCGGAAGGGATACTACAAGGAATACTACTTTTGAACGAACGAACGAGGCAAATGAAATATAAGTGCAGCCGACCACACAATTAAGTAGCGAGCGCGTGGCGGTCGTTTAATTGTAATGGGCGCCGGCGTTTGCGCGATAATTGCGGATAGTTTAGGAAGTTGCGTGCAATTTTTCCAAGATCCTTGAGTTATCCTATTTCTGATTTCTGTATCCGTATCAGTCTGCAAGCATCTCGCGAGCATCGCCAGATTTCCTTCGTTGCTTTCAAAGTCTCGGACTGATTCTGTTCGCTGTATGAAAATCACGAGGCGTTTGTTAGTTCAGAATTTTGCTTAACATACATTTCTGTAAAACTCTACGGACACGGTAGCAAGTAGAGGAGTAGGGCACACGAGAGATCAACGTTCATTGTGGCCCTGATACACAGAGAGACGTAAGTAGTTGAGACACGCGACACAAGATCGGTACTTTCACGCAGCAGGAACTCAAGATCTGTACAGAGCGATCCTAAACCCTGTGCCGAGCTCGATTTTATACTTCGCGACAAAATTCTACAGCCGGACAGCCCCAAAAATATTTGCCATTTTATAGCCGTGTCTTCTAGATTTCGTTTTAACGTCGTACATTAATCTTAATCGATGCTTGATCCTCCCCATTACTTTCTCATAATTTGCCCTAAGCTAATGACAAGAGTAAAATATTATTAGTCAGATAGAAGACTCCATGTCTATTACTTGGTCACCCTTTATCTTTCATAATGTTTTCTAACGAAATCATCGAAATAGGATACGTTAAATCGGCGCAAGTCTAAATACGACGTTAACGCTAAAACAATAACAACAATATAACAAGATTAGCTTTCATTTAAAATATTCCGCCTGACCAAATAAACACATCTACCAATCGTTCAAGATAATCTGACGTTCAAAATCCTTCTACTATTGTAATCGAATTAAAAATAACGAAAAATAATCTAACTTCATGTGAAATTGATCAAGCAATAGACCGAATCGATCCTAATATACATAGAATAATTAGAATTTGATGATCAACCTATTAACATTACAGGGTAAACATTTACACCAAATAATCTCAATAACGTTGATATTCCTAAATTTATAGGAAAAGTATTCAGAAAAAATGGATATAAGATAATTCTCAAAGATAAAACCAACATCAACATAGGTATCAACAAATAATAATCGAAATTAATCTTCTCAAGTATATCAAACCAATTGCTCAAATAAAGTTAAAAATCTTATTATTATTCTTATTATTAGCAACAATAAGAAGAACAAAAAATGATAACGTATCATTATCATAAAAATTATATTATCTATATATTATTATATAATTAAATTCTAATCCACTTTTTCTCTACCAAGATAAATCATTTCACACGATAATAACAATAATTTTATTATTAATATTAAATCAGAGCAGATCTTCGTGATCCCAATAAATTCAAGCTAAAGAATCGGAAATTTGTCATTCCATAAATAAATTGAACATCGTTTACCTTAGAAAGTAACAAGACAATATCGTACGAAAAGAACTCGTGAATTTATGACATAGCCGAAACGAGAGGGTCTAGTCATCTCGCATACCAAATACATAATTTGACTCGATTTTCCTGCGCGAATCAGATTAACACCTGTAAAACTGCTACACAGTTACTGCAACGCGAAACAAACACCATCGGCACGGTTTTCACGTGTAACAACGCAACCGGACTCGGCGTTTATGATCGTCCTGTACCCCTCTACCACGCCGAACTTAGATATCCGTAGGTGCTCGTCGACGAAGTCAACAGTGCAAGTTTGTGAACCAAGCGAGTGTGTACGTCGACGGTGTTTGCGCTCAGTATCGCGTCGATCTTCGCCGATTTTCACGTCGCATGCGTCGCGCGACGATCCAAAGCTGTTCGCGACCCAGCACGAGGATGATCTAGAGCAGAGATCGACACGACCCCGTCCCGAGATCGAGACTTTCCCGGATATCGATCGTCGATCTGAACCGCGATCGGAAAAATCGCCACGATGGCCGAGAAACGTGTAAACAGAAACGAGGTAGGGATCCGGATGGAATTTTCCCCGACTCCATCCGATTATCTGGGCATGATTTCCAGATTTAATCTGGTGACAATCGATGGGAGTTTTGATTACTTTCTGATTATGTAACGCCGTACCATTCCGATAACAATCATCGGTCTTCGATGCTTCGGATCCTTAAACATTCGCAGGAGAGTGAAACGAGTCTAGGAATTGACGAGTTTGGGAATTGCCGCGTGAGGTAATGATGATGACGACGATGATGATGATGACAGCGAGTGCCAGACTCGGACCAGACTCGGCAAGCTCTGACAGCGTTGTCATAAAGCGTAACCTGGGGATTCTCGAAATCGCTCGGTGCCCGATGTGTGTGTATGTGTGTGTGTATGTGACAATGTATTTCGAAGCTGATACTGCTTCAGGTTTTTATAAGAATGCAATGTCATCGTTGATGCCAATTTTGTGTTCGATGTTATAATGTTGTGTTCGATGAACGAATTATCGATTCTTCGTGTTTTACTCGCGTTCGAACCTTTTGCTACCGGAATGTGAAAGGAATTATGCATTACGTGACGGCTTCTGATACCTACTTTGAGCCAGTTTCGTTTCAGAAACGTATCGTTCCTGCCGATTACGTCGCTTTCGCTGGCCATGTACATAATACACCAACATAAATAGCATAGTTTCGGCGATTTTTTTTAATACATTGTTAGCATGATTCTGAGCAACTTTCTCAACTTGAACATAATTAGCAGAAAATCTTAGTTTTCTGCTACTACACAATAGAATCTGCGTATATCATGTCAGTGGCAGCATATGCGTCAGATCTGTACGGATAATATTTTTAATGCTAAATTGTCGATTGTGAGAGTCGACGGAGTTGTTTGTTCGCTGCACTCGCACGAAAAGAAACTAACCAATTTCGCTTACTATCGTAATGGAAAATCAAATGTTAAATTGTGACAATTGTCGGAGTTGCTCGCTGGTGCGAAAATAACTCTGTTCTCTTCGCGCTACGATATACAAGGTGTCATGTAACCGATGGTACGTTAAAGAATGAGTCGAAGATAAAAAGAGTAATATTTTTCGTTTAAAAATGAAGTTTCTCGAAAAAATTGAATTGAAAGATGGGTCAAGTTCGCGTGGCTTGTATTGTAACGAGAAGTAGCGACCACACAGACGTGCCACTCGATTCCAATTCAATAGCATTAATTTTTCAACCTACTTTTTCTCGAATGAAAAGACATTATTCTATCTTTTCGACTTATTTTTTTACGTAGAATCAACGCCTATGCGCCTATCAATGCGCTTGTCAACGCCTATCAGTTACATGACATCCTGTATGTAGCAGATAATTATTTCAAGTTCACTCGTTGCATGTATACATAGGTCGTTAACGGTCGTCGTAAGAAACAGTAAATAAGTGTGTACACACACGATCGGATTCAATGCAATAGTAGCAACAGCTTTTCGCGAATATCTCGGAAACTAAAGTTTCCCGCTAATTGTGCCTGAAGGGAAAATTTGCACAGGGAAATTGGCCGCTTTCGTTTTTTATCCGTCGCAAAATCATCGGCATGCGTCGACGGGAAATCTATAGAGTCACGTGAACTTAATCGCAGAAGAGAAAAATTCTTTATTAAATGATTCACATGAGAAATTCAAAGTGTACTTCGTCATTGTAGAAACACAACCAGTCGACAATCGGAAGGCCTACTTCCTGGGCGCGGTTTCAATCAGCTGAGCACGTAACTGCTTATGATCACGCTTCATAAAAATATTTCAGCACTGCACGAATAAATCGTACAATTCTTTAGGTCTCGCGAATTTTTCGCAGGCTCTATTGTTTATCCCTAAATTTTTACATAGAACTAACAATCTGTTCTTAGGCTCCTTTTTGCACAGGCTATGCAGAAATTATGGTTTCTTTCTAAGGCTTCGTGGGCACCGCGCCTAAGATGTCTATTGTCGAAGACAGTTTTGTAAAATTTTGTCAACCTTCTGCGACCGTTTCTTGCCACTCGAACGATACAATGTATCAGCGATATATATCATTAGAGCGTTGGAACAACGATGTATCATAACACAGGTGTTCGCGCGCATGTGTCGATCATCGATCGATAAAGATATATTATCGATATGTACTTCCTGAAACATTCTCATCGGAATGAAAATCTTTTCATTCGAATTTATCTCCTCTCGGCTGTCCAGCTATCTACATATAAATAGTATAAACTCAATAGGAGAAGGTCCTTTGTCACTGTCTATTTACAACGTCGGCTTCAAGCTTTCCATCGAGCCGCATTTTGCTTGTTCGCTACCGAAGAAACACGTTCGTTTGAACGGTAGATGTTGAATAATGCATGAAAGGTAGCTTTTAAAGGACACATTTGACGGACGACGTGATTCAGAACGCATCCACTAGCCCTATTCGATCTAGCAACGATCGCATCACCGCGCAATGTCGAGGCACGTGTTCCAAATTCGAACAATTTTTATAATACCGCGTTCAACATCCAATGGAAACGCACGGTCGCTAACATATGGAGGACACCTATGTATAGTAATTTCTCCCTAATTCGCACACTTAAATTGCGCACAGAAGACAAGGCTCAAATTATCGTATTTCCTTTTCTCAAATTGTTCATTTTTGTGCGCGATCTGAGCGCGAATTAGGGAGAAATTACTGTATAGACTTGTGTACACATTTATTCATTTTATGTTCATTATTCGAGGAAATATTTTTTGAACGATTGTTTTATGAATAATATAAAAATATTCCTTTATTAATTCATCGTTTCGATCGTCAAGCAAAAGAAACCGGATTCATTGATCGACACCTGGGTCTTCCAAACGTGGTTGATGTGTGATTCGACCGAGATAGCAACAAACGCGTTATTGTACTCCAAAAATGTCTCGCAATCCGGAAATGGCAGATTCCTCAGATCATTTGAAGCAATTTCTTCCTTTACAAAAATTTTCTCCAAGGCACCGCTAACGAGTTATTAACGAAAAACAGAGACCAATAAGAATCGAGTACGGCTGACGCGAGGCGGCCCAGCCAACCAGCGCACGAAGTCCAGTTCCGCTTATTGGCTCAGTCGCCTCGCGCCAGCTGAGCTGAGATTCGACCGCCTCGACCGCTGGCGCCGTTGGCTCGACCGCCTCGCGCCAGCTGAGCTGGGATTCGACCGCTCGACCGCTGGCGCCGTTGGCTCGGCCGGCTCGCGCCAGATGAGCTCGCCTCTCATTAGTCACTGTTTTTCGTTAATAACTCGTTAACGGTGCCTCGGAGAAAATTTTTGTAAAGGAAAAAGTTGCTTCAAATGGCCCGAAGAACCCGCCACTTTCAAATTGCGAGACATTTTTGGGACACCCTGTATTTCGCGCACCCATACCTGGCATTCGCACAGTCACATTCGTACCTTGTGTTTCGATGAATCGAATCGGACACTTTTTTATATCATACAAGTTCTTTATTCCACGATCACCTTACTTCCCGTTTCGCGGGAACAGTTAGCCCCGAGAGTTTCGTGCTCTTAGGAATTTGTATGTATGTACATATTTTGAAGTGACTGTTTTGAGTTTGTATCCTAATATACATATTGGTACAGACTATGAAGAAGAGAGGGGGGGGGGGGGCACGGATGTGACATCGTTCATATCGCGTCGGGGATGAGTAACGCGGATGCATAACTCCTGGGTTAAGACAATTGGCTTGAAAACAACTGACTGAGCGAGACAGTTAGATCATCTAACAGTTTGTAAATACCGTAGGCGGCATCTGATAATAATGATTATCAATAAAGCAGCGAGAAGAGTTGAATTGAATTTTAGATTACTCGAATAGCAGGCTGTATATCTGAAATTCGTTTTATCTCTTCCACCGAGTTTGAAATCTGTTAAAACTTGTTCATTTCGCAATATCCCGAGTACACGTGTACACCATAAAATTAGCAGTCCACTAAGGACATTTGAAGCTGAAACGAAATTAGGTCGTTTATAGCGGCATACTTAATGTCCCGGTTGATTTGAAGTGTTCTTATCTTATCGCTGTCAATTACAACAACTGCGAGCGAAGTCGTTCTTAAAAGTGTAATGGAAATTCTTTGATTAACAGCTTACAATATTTTTACGCGCGATGTTAACTTACGGCTGCAAATATCGAATAGCGCGAAAATATTCACAGTCTCGCATTTCGAACGTTCTGTTCCTTGAATTAGTCACGGGACAGGCAACCATTCAGGATCCTGATCGAAACAATACCATTCACTGTTCTGTGCATCATGTATGATTCACAGTTAAAATCAATATTCATGTTTGACAATAGATACCTACAATGGAAAAATGTTAACAGATTAGCTCCGTACACTACGATTTCCATCAGAGTGATGGCACATTTTTGTCGTTCATGAATTCCTACGCGAGAAACAACATTTCATATTTATCGCTCATCTACATTTTAATCGTAATTGCGAGATATCGACAACGGACAAATTCAATTTGATTTCTGTTGAAAGTATTTAGCACAATTCTGATGCATAATATCCGATACGATGTTATAGTGCAACGTGTAAATAATGGCAGATCTAAACTGAGCATTTCAGCGTCCTCAACGATGACCATGTCTAATCTATAGTATACAATTTTAATAGAAATGTTGTTACACATTATTCTAAAGTAGTCTTCTAAAAACGTGTTTCACATGCAAGTACATCTTTTGATTTTGGGACTGAAAAATAGCAACGGGTCGTTCAGTGGATCAAAATCCTTGAAGCGACCGAGAATAAGTGTAGAAAATGATCGCAAGAGTTACTTCAGGATCGAATAAATTCGATCAACACGGCGCACTATTTGTTGAGGATATTGGAAATCTGGAAGATGAAAGAAGCATAGCAACGTGTCAGATAACGTTTGTTGTATTAGCGCGGCCTTCGCGTTTCTATCGTGGAGAATGGATTCTTTAAAACGTCGGCATTGACGACAGAGTTAAATCGGGGTCAAAGCCATCATCGCGTTTCGCAATTTGTTAGCATTTAGTCCATTAGTGATGGAATTGCAGTCTTAATCTAATCGATCTTGTTTTTTTTTTATATTTTGCAGAAGTTGAAGTATCCCAAGTCCGTATTCTTCATCATCAGCAATGAGTTCTGCGAGAGGTTCAGTTTCTATGGAATGCGAAGTACGTCGTAATTAAATGAACAATCCTTCTCCGGTTTAAGAAATATTTTCTTTGAGTCTTGCACGTTTTCTTGTCTTCGAATCTTTTACATTTTACAGTGCAGACATAAGCAAACACGAACGTACAATAAGATGTGTGATCGATGGATGGTTTTATGCATTTGCGAGGCGAACGAGTAACGGAATAACTTTTTTTCAAGTTGTACCAAACGACTTGATCCCTTTTTTGAGACGGTACAAGGACTAATTTACTATATAACGTGTTAAAACTTTGTTAGAAAAATTGCGACTGATTGGGACGAGAAAAGATAATTATCTAAGCCTGTAACGAAAGTTTTACAACATCCACGTTTTAAAATATGTGCGAATATTTTTGTGACAGACCGTGCCTGTGACAGTTTGATTTAGAAGTTTGCAATGGGCGATAAAATACTGGAACGCCATCGCTATCGATGCAGTGGCCATCCTATGCCAATGTACTAGACATACGGTTAACCAGTGAAACTTGCATGTGTACAGCCGTGTTGACGCTGTACCTGGTGCAGTCCTTGAAGTACGATGACAGCACGACCACCGTGATCTACCATGCTTTCACGATGCTGGCGTATTTCTTCCCTCTGCTTGGAGCGATGTTGGCGGATTCGTGGCTCGGAAAATTCCGCACGATCTTCTACCTGAGCATCATCTACGCGGCAGGTCAAATCCTCCTGGCCTTGGCCGCAGCTCCGCCGATTGGACTTTCGCCGAGGTACGCGATTTCTCTGCACAATCCAACATTTTGAGCAATTCCAACAGAAAACCAATTAATTGCTAAATTTTACACGATTCGAGCTCTATACATTGATCGTTCAACATTGCAGGGAATTCTCGATGCTTGGCTTAGTTCTGATAGCCATCGGGACCGGCGGTATAAAGCCCTGCGTGTCGGCGTTCGGCGGCGACCAATTCATCCTGCCTCAGCAGGAACGCTACCTGTCCACTTTCTTCTCCATCTTCTACTTCTCCATCAACTTCGGCTCCCTGATCTCGAGCTTCCTCACACCCGAACTTCGCAGAGGCGTGAAATGCTTCGGCGAGAACTCCTGCTACTCTCTGGCGTTCATGGTGCCGGCGGTCCTCATGACCATCTCCATAGGTGGGTCCCTAGTCCGAAAATATGTTCTTATTAATGAGCGATTTTTCAAGCATGAGAATTCAGCGAAATGCTTACTTTTCTAGTGATATTTGTGCTCGGAAGACCACTGTACAGGATAACGAAACCCAAGGACAACGTCATCGTGCAGGTCTCAAAATGCATCTCCGTGAGTTTCATTGTTCAGTAACAAACGAATCGTTTGTCTGAAATAATTGAGACGCAACGCAGATGCAACGTCGGACTACTTGAACATTTCAGCACGCCATTTACAACAAGGTGACATCGAAAAAGAAGCGAGACCATTGGCTGGACTACGCCGACGACCAGTACGACAAGACCATGATCAGCGATATCAGGGACACCCTGCAAGTGCTGATGCTGTTCATCCCTATACCGATCTTCTGGGCGTTGTTCGACCAGCAAGGATCGAGATGGACGCTCCAGGCGGCGCGAATGAACGGCGAGATCGGCAGCTGGCTGTTGCAGCCAGACCAGATGCAGGTGATCAACCCCCTACTGGTACTCGCCTTCATCCCCCTCTTCGAAGCTTGTATATATCCGCTTATGGCGAAGATTGGAATTCGGTCGCCGCTAAGGAAGCTGACGATCGGAGGTTTGCTGGCCGCTCTAGCCTTCGTTGTGTCGGCTATCGTCGAATATCAACTCGAGGTAGGCAGCCGAACGGACAGCACTATACAGGGTGTCCCAAAAATGTCTCGCAATCCGAAAGTAGGGGATTCCTGAGGTCATTCGAAGCAACTTTTTCCTTAGCGAAAATGCAATCCGCGGCTTCGTTTACGAGTTATTAACGAAAAACAGTGGCCAATCAGAGGCGAGATCNACCATTGGCTGGACTACGCCGACGACCAGTACGACAAGACCATGATCAGCGATATCAGGGACACCCTGCAAGTGCTGATGCTGTTCATCCCTATACCGATCTTCTGGGCGTTGTTCGACCAGCAAGGATCGAGATGGACGCTCCAGGCGGCGCGAATGAACGGCGAGATCGGCAGCTGGCTGTTGCAGCCAGACCAGATGCAGGTGATCAACCCCCTACTGGTACTCGCCTTCATCCCCCTCTTCGAAGCTTGTATATATCCGCTTATGGCGAAGATTGGAATTCGGTCGCCGCTAAGGAAGCTGACGATCGGAGGTTTGCTGGCCGCTCTAGCCTTCGTTGTGTCGGCTATCGTCGAATATCAACTCGAGGTAGGCAGCCGAACGGACAGCACTATACAGGGTGTCCCAAAAATGTCTCGCAATCCGAAAGTAGGGGATTCCTGAGGTCATTCGAAGCAACTTTTTCCTTAGCGAAAATGCAATCCGCGGCTTCGTTTACGAGTTATTAACGAAAAACAGTGGCCAATCAGAGGCGAGATCATTTGGCGCGAGACGGCCGAGCCAATGAGCGGAACTGAGCTCCGCGCACTCGTTGACTGGGCCGCCGCGTGCCAGCCGATTGCATTTTCGCTCAGGATTCCTCTACTTTAGGACTACGAGACATTTTTGGGACACCCTGTATAGATAGTTTTTGTTCTGCGTCAGAGTGATCGAAAGCGTCCTTGTTGTTTATGTTTTTCTTGTTGCTTTTGTCTAGCCTACGTATGCGGTGCTGCCGACGCAAGGGGGGGCTCAGGTGCGATTCTTCAACACCCTAAACTGTAACGGGAATGTTACTTTGGAAGATAGTAATTTTGATCTCCCACCGATGGAGATGTGGGTGAATAAAAGCATCTCAGTGAATGGAATAAGAGAAATGAATTTCACGGCAGACTTCACAAGATGCAAGATACCAACATGGAATGACACTTCAACAGGTAGGCGTCTACGATGTTCACTGGCATCGCACTTAAGTCCATATTGCGAGTCTATGTTTTAAGTGGAATCTATCTCGATAACTTAATTGTAACGGTCTCCGCTGAAGGTAAAATCAATGTTTCGGAGGCGAAAGCAACATCCTGGGTATTCATGCAGAACGATTTCGTCCAGTACGAGGATTCGGTGCAGAAATCGTCGTCGGGCAACCCGTTGATACGTGTTGTGTTGTCGAAGGATAACCTTGACGAAGAAATCGAGTTCGAAATCTACGACGGCAACGGTCGTGTCTTTAACACCACTGTTAAAGACCCAAGGAAAACTATGACCGATTTAAACGAAACGGTCCCGGGCATGTACGATATTCATCTGAACGGCAAGAAGATGCTCAGCGGCGTGCCGCTGAAACTCGGCGGAGTTTACACCTTCGTTGGCAATACGATACCTGGGTATACTAACCTTAGTGTGATCCAGATCACCGAACCGAATACCATGCACGTATTGTGGATGATACCGCAATACGTCCTCATCACTATGGGGGAGGTGATGTTCTCCGTGACGGGATTGGAGTTCGCCTTCACGCAAGCACCGTCCAGCATGAAGTCCATCTTGCAGGCCACCTGGCAACTGACAGTGGCCGTCGGTAACCTCATCGTCCTCATCATCGCTGAAGCTAAGATTTTCGACAGACAGGCAAGTAGAGTCTTTCCAAGATTGCATTTTTTATTAGTCTGAAAACCTCGGTTCTTAAGAAATTCAGTTTCGAGAAGGGAAATTGAAATTTCACTTCAATAAACTTTTCTGCTTCCGCTGTACAAGCTGTACAGCCTTGCCAGATTCTTAACTTGTTAGAATTCTGGCTCCGGATCATTTCTGATCGTGATGGTATATTTTGTTATTTTGTTATGGGTAAAATGTGTGGAATGTGTTTAAACAAGGTTTGAACTACACCTCTATTTTCTTGTATATTATCGCTTTGTCTAAAATATGATGATCGTGGAGCTAAATGAATATTTTTAGAGTATCGAAATGTTCGAGGGTTCTTTCGGCATACAAAATTGAACACATAATATAATTATAGATAATTATTGCACGATAGACAGTTCAGGGGCTGAAAAGATATTCTGAGCATACATCAATGTTCAGCAGATTCTTCTGTATGCATATATTGCAAACGAAATGCATTTATTATTACAAATATTGCAGTAAGATGCAATACAAAATTCGGCACGAATCATGTGCTTCTTACGATATAAAAATAGCAATAACAAAAAAATGCTCAAACAATTGGAACTTTCTACCGATGGATTTCCTGCTTTTTGGAAAGGATCGGTGACGTTATTTCCAAAATTTATGGTGGCAGGTGGCATCACGTGTTAAATCTATGGGAATTAACTCTCTGTCGGTAAAATTGTCGAACAGATTGAGCGTTTTGCCACTAGACCAATTGGCGCTGTATGGAGCCCTGCTTAGATCATGTACATATGCTACTAGACACGGCAGGTATATAGTGCGTGTACAAAAAAGCCAGAAGCTCGATGAAGAAAAGATAGTTAGATATCATGAAAGATAGTTCTCTGTGACGTGGTAGGGAATAAAGTTCAAGTTCAAACCTTAGAAGCTAACTATGTACTAGTATTCGCTATCCATCATCGTGTTTTTGAACATTTCTTAGGCTGCAAAGAGAATCAAAATAGTGGCAGAAACGTATCTTTCTCCACCAGTGAGTATTTCATTACTCTTAACCTGGGTATCAGCTAAATATAATATTTCATACTAAATTAATTCAATTTGCTTCCTAAACATTAAACATTTTCGTATATTCATTAATGTCGAGTATTAAAACAGTTCAACACATTTGGAGCATCGGTGTGTCACTCTTTCGAAATTACAGATATACATATAATACTAGCATAGCTTATACATCGAGTTCACAGTGACGTCATGTAGATGATTCGTCTTTGCTTCAGGCAAACTATCTGAAGCCCCTGAACTGAGCTTTGAGATTTTGCCACAAGCGGTACCTCAAGCGTCTACCAACGCTTTTAAGTTTTTCATGAATATATAAAAAATGTAATTCCAATTCTTCTCCATTGAAGTCCTTTCACTTTTTAGAGCCCGAATGAAAGATAGACGAATGCACTTTATGACACGTCATTCGAATAGTTTTGTAGTATTTATACTATTATACAGGGTGTTCTATAATTACGTTAACACCCGGAAATGGGTAAGAAGAAAATGCAATTCGCGGCTTTGCGACTTATTAACGAAAAACACTGACCAATGAGAGGTGAGCCCGGTTGACGTGACGCGGTCAAGCCAACGAGCGAATCGAACGATCTCGCCTCTCATTGGTCACTGTTTTTTGTTAATAACTCGTAAACGAAGTCGTGGATTGCATTTTCCCTAAGGAAAAAGTTACTTCAAATGATCTCAGGTATCGCTTCTTTCCGGGTGTTAACATGATTATAGGATACCCCGTATATGCGAATATTATAAAAATGTATACACACACATACTATTGTATTTGGAAGAGCGTATGGAAGCGTTTTATGCAAGAAACATTCATGTAACTTCCATGGTCGAAGCAGAGAATATGTTTAAAGACTCGCGGAATTTGATGGGAACTTTTGATCCACAGATTTTCGAGTTCCTTCTATTCGCCGGACTTATGGCCGTCGACATGATTTTATTCGCCATAATGGCGCAATTCTATAGGTACATTGTGACGCCTGAAGAGNGTAGGGAATAAAGTTCAAGTTCAAACCTTAGAAGCTAACTATGTACTAGTATTCGCTATCCATCATCGTGTTTTTGAACATTTCTTAGGCTGCAAAGAGAATCAAAATAGTGGCAGAAACGTATCTTTCTCCACCAGTGAGTATTTCATTACTCTTAACCTGGGTATCAGCTAAATATAATATTTCATACTAAATTAATTCAATTTGCTTCCTAAACATTAAACATTTTCGTATATTCATTAATGTCGAGTATTAAAACAGTTCAACACATTTGGAGCATCGGTGTGTCACTCTTTCGAAATTACAGATATACATATAATACTAGCATAGCTTATACATCGAGTTCACAGTGACGTCATGTAGATGATTCGTCTTTGCTTCAGGCAAACTATCTGAAGCCCCTGAACTGAGCTTTGAGATTTTGCCACAAGCGGTACCTCAAGCGTCTACCAACGCTTTTAAGTTTTTCATGAATATATAAAAAATGTAATTCCAATTCTTCTCCATTGAAGTCCTTTCACTTTTTAGAGCCCGAATGAAAGATAGACGAATGCACTTTATGACACGTCATTCGAATAGTTTTGTAGTATTTATACTATTATACAGGGTGTTCTATAATTACGTTAACACCCGGAAATGGGTAAGAAGAAAATGCAATTCGCGGCTTTGCGACTTATTAACGAAAAACACTGACCAATGAGAGGTGAGCCCGGTTGACGTGACGCGGTCAAGCCAACGAGCGAATCGAACGATCTCGCCTCTCATTGGTCACTGTTTTTTGTTAATAACTCGTAAACGAAGTCGTGGATTGCATTTTCCCTAAGGAAAAAGTTACTTCAAATGATCTCAGGTATCGCTTCTTTCCGGGTGTTAACATGATTATAGGATACCCCGTATATGCGAATATTATAAAAATGTATACACACACATACTATTGTATTTGGAAGAGCGTATGGAAGCGTTTTATGCAAGAAACATTCATGTAACTTCCATGGTCGAAGCAGAGAATATGTTTAAAGACTCGCGGAATTTGATGGGAACTTTTGATCCACAGATTTTCGAGTTCCTTCTATTCGCCGGACTTATGGCCGTCGACATGATTTTATTCGCCATAATGGCGCAATTCTATAGGTACATTGTGACGCCTGAAGAGGAAGTCGCCAGCGACGATATCCACATGAAGGAGGAAAGAGGTATTCTTAATAAGTCCTACCAGGACGACGAGAAAAGAACTGATTAACTATTGGATCTGAGAACTATTACGTAATTCCATGAGACTATAGGTGTTTGAGACAACTTTAAACACACCTTATAGAACATTTCTCGAAAGGAATTACACTGGACCGAATCCAGGATAGAGAAGTCCTATTAAGCCGTCAAGATTTTTTGAAATTTAATTATTGACTGAATCTTTCCATTCGAATAGTATTTTACTTAACTACCCCTTTTGATATGTATACCTGGATCCACCCTTGTTTAACACATTGATTACCATTAGGTCGCAGAATTATTTATCGGAACAATTGATACCAGTTTGATGGTATTTTTTCAAGTTTTGTTTCGTTAAATGCTTGCACTTTACTGTCAATAGTTTTCCACAAGAAAAATATATATTTGTATTTAACAGATCCTGTAACCTTCGCGAGTCCTATTCGGTATTATTAGGTAATCAAATAAATTACCTTGATTGTGGTTGACATTCCACACGTTTGCAATCGAAATGTGCACAAGATTTTGTTCCGAGGCATTGTGAACAATTTTCCGTCTTTGATGATGACTTTACCCTGTTTCAAGGGTAGCAGATGTGTAAAATGGAGTTGAACGATGTTCATACTTTTAATGAAAAACTGAAGTTCCGTTTATCGGAGAATCTTGTTAAGGATAAATATTAAGAAATTTAATTGATTATCAACTTTCGAACCAGCTGCATCCCATGAAAATTGGTTAAAAATAATCGACTTAAAATTCTGTATCTCTAATTAACTGAATCGTTCAGACGCCACAATTTTGTAAATAAGTACTCGTAAATGTAAGAATAAAATATTTTTGTATAAAAGTGACACAGCCGTCGAATAAAAGGCATTTGTAAAATGAACTCTAATTATCCTGTGCTTTGAGAAAACGATCATCTACATCCTTGGGCGTGATCATTCGGAACGCTTAACGAGTAACGAACGTGATAGAACGAAAGTTCTTTACAAAATAAACAATTTATTTAATAAAATAATAATACATTATTTATCATTTATATATTACACCAGGTTCAGATTAATGGAAGAACGAAAATAACAATGGTAACGTGTACACATTTACGGAACATACCGCGGACACGAATCGCAACGGTCTGATTGCGCCTATGCTACAGCTCACAACACATACAATCATGCTACAAATCACTATACAGTAGTCTATTTGTACACAGATTGTCCTTTCATAGTGTCCTCTCTATAAAATCCAACGAATTCATTGTAATAGACGATGCAGTGCTGTAAAGGCATAGAAAGGCTAACGATAAATTTATGCTGCCAATCTGATTCGATCCTCTGTCTATCATCCCACCCAGAAAATGATCCATTGAAATTTTCAGCGCGATCTCAACAGAATGATTAGAAACAATATTAGTAACAGCTCAACAAAACAGACGATAAAATGTTTTAGAAAAATTTGCTGCGCAAATCATTACTATTACGTTATTGAAATTATTAATATTTTCAGCACTGTACAGAATCATAAGGAGGATAGTATTTATACAATAGTCTCGAAAGAATTATTTAAGTTATTATTGAAAAGGAAAAAATTCAATGAAACGGTGGATGATTTTTCAAGAAAATATTTAACAGCTAATGTCCCGGGCCTTTTAACGAAAATGAAAATTTCAAATGGATTAGGATAATGTTAAAATGCTTCCAACAGACGTTGTTGGTATTCAGGTGGGTCATTGACTGTCAGTGGTCGCATGATTGACGTTCCAGGCAGACAAGCCTCTGGAAGTTGCATTTTGTTTCATTATAGTGTTCTCGCGGGTTACTGGAACGTATAAATAGTAACCCTGGTTAAGTTAGTCGGCGCTAATTACAGGTAAGTGCTTCAAGTTTGTCAAAATAAATAATCATTTCTCTATCTCGTCATCTCGGTTACGATAATAGGCTCTTCCATCATAGAACTGTCTTCATAATTAACAGTTTATAAGTATCATAGAAAAATAAAATACGTATTATCGCATCAAGCCAATCAATGATATATATCCATATGTATATTAGTCGATATTAAAGGTCCAGTTCCTTTTTTTTGGTTTTGCTCCCTCCTTTTCTGTACCTCGTTCTCTCTCTCTCTCTCTCTCTCTCTCTCTCTATTTCTCTTTCTTTCTTCCCCTCCCCCTCTCTCTGTTTCTCTCTAACAAACGTATATACAGAATTTCTCGTTTGCGAAATGTAAGTTCCGGCAACAATAGCAGAAGTAACAGCGCATGCAAACAGAAAGCGAGACGCGGATACAACAATGTCTAAATAAATTGTTACTTATGATATAACGCAATACATAGATCTGTATACGAAGACAGAATCTTTTCCTTTCCCTAACTAGACTCTCGATCGTCGAATCATCGTTTAACACGTTGACCACAGAAACTGGACAAAACTAGATTGACTCACAGCAATTAAGATATTTACGGGTATTAATTGTTCTTCTGATCCTCGCCTAATTTCTGCGGAAGCAATGTTAGTTAGCTGCGTCTGTCAGCACAGTAATTAATTTTCAAATATAAACAAACAATTCTGTCAACGTGTTAAATATTATGCATCTCCATTTTATGGAGAAATCATCGAATACAATAAACACAGTTACATAGATACCCTGTGATATAAATTCGCACGATCAGGATAACTCGTGTAAGGTATATGCAGCCAGGGTCACGCAGTTTAAATTACTTCAACAACTTGTACAGAATGAAAATCAAAGAAAACCTTGTTTTTTGATTTTCAATAAAAATCATTCGATGTGATCTTATCAATCGTAACATAATATCCTTGAAAATTTTAAATAATTAAACATTTCTAATTCACCAGATAGTTTGTGTAAACTCTTTGTTGTTAAAAGTTTGTTGTGCCAATTGCATGATCCCATAATTTCTACGCAGGCTGCGAATCCTTATTCAAATATATATATATATATATAAATCTATGAAAACTGAAATCAAAGACAAATTTGTGCACTTTATTAAGAGCTTCAATAGGCTCCTACTAAAATAAAAAATTTACTAAAACTTGATCAGTAGTAATCACTAAAACGTAAATGCATAAAATCCGCAGTCATTTTACCGATACACATGTAAGTCGACTAAAAAGCCTGTTTAAAAATTCCGACGTCTTCCCACTAAATCTGCTCATTCGCGACTCACTAATAATTAATTAGCAATTAATTGATATGAACGGAACAAAAGGATCAATACTGGTTAATACCTCGCAGGATCGTCGACCGAATTTCCGGAAATCAAGCGGATCTGTTGGTGTAAAGTGGGATCGAATGTGATAGTAAAATATGGCCTCCAATCCGTACTCTAAGTTGCAAGTCAGTAACGGTGTGTAGAAAAATAATTGTTAATCATATGGCTAACCATACTTGCTATGAAAGTACAAACTATAGTACATCATGGAGTTTAAAAAATATTGTGTTCTCAAACAAACACAGATATATAGTCCGTGAACGGCGGCCGAAACCTTTGCCGTTCTGTTTTTTTTTTCGTCTAGCCGCAGTAAATTCATCCCTTGCTGAAAACGCAAAAGTGACCTCATTATCACCAGAGACTCCAGGTGATCCCCCACCCCCTTACACCCGTCGGACCCCGTTTACTTAACTTTACATTTTGACTTCCTGTGTCACGGTAAGTATTAAAGTTGTATACATTCAATATATAGATAAATGTTTCCGATATGGTACATTAACAGTGAGCTAAGCACCGGGGGAAAAGGTTATTTAAAAGTAAGTGTTTAATTTTACTCAAACTAGATGTGGTCCTCTTCTTGTTTTCTTCATTTATGCGGTGTCACTGGTGTAGGGTCGTCATGGAATAATGGATTTCTCACCTCCATCTCGCCGGTCTGAAATAGTGAAACAATTATGAGTAGTTTATATATAGTAGACGCTTTAAATTAAAACTTTGACGAATTGGACATGTAACCCTGAGTAATGGCCAAGCGAATGTATTTAAATCGGCAGCTCAGAATATTATGAAATTTTGGAAATGTATAGAGCATGTGTTTTACTTGCTACTCATTAGATCCAATTGAAAGGAGTCGCAAACACCCTGTATAGTTATTCAATGGAAATTCACTTACAGAAGCCAATCCTCGGCACTCGTAGACAGTGTAGTCTCCCTCTTCGTTCTCCTCTTCGCTCTCTGCTTCAGAGACGGACCCAGGATCTCTGGATGCAGAAACACGACTGCACAAGTAGTCACGTAATTCCTAGCCTATTCAAGGTGTCACCCTAATCTAACCAGAATCCGGATAGCGGCGCTTTTACTTACTTTTCTAAAGCGATGATTTGTTGTTTTTGGTGTTGAAAATGGTACATTTGCGCGGATTGCGCGAGCCTTTGGTCTCCAGAGGGTGAAACCTCTTTGTTCGGCCCTGTAACACCATACGCTGGGTATTCTATGTCTGCTGCTGCTTTTGCGCCCCGTTTCAATCTGTAAATGTCGATAAAATAATAATGGATCGCGGCCGAAAATCAAGTTAACATTCCCATGAAGTTCTTTCAAGAAATGAATCTTCTTCCATGTGGTATGAATAATGTCGTAATTTCAATTACCTGCACCAGGTCAATGTAATCAACACGAGGGCAAACATGGCAGCCGCACTGCAGCCGGCAACGATAGCTGCAAAGGAATAAATTGTTATTAAACACTGTTATTAAAACTCCTCGACATTTCGCAGTTTTTAAGCAATGGTACTCACCGATAAAATATATATCATTGTTCAAAGTGGGGTTTAGAGGCACAACCAAAGGATTGTATGTGCGCCGCTGCAGATCCGACAAAATGATCACCGGAGATTCCTTCATCTGCAACTCGCCGTTCCTCACGTTCTCCTCGTGCAGTCTATGCGTTTTGTCGATCTTAACGTTGCTCTGTTCCGGCTGCGTCTCATTTTGCACAGTTTTTTCGACATTCGAGCGATCAGTGTCTCCTTTTAATAACCACGGTGATTTAAGTACAAACGGTTAATAACAGTCTCGCTGTCAGTTTCTTTACACGTTCTAACCCTCGGATGACGGAACTCGCGACTACATATTTTCTAATTGTATTTCTAAATCGTGGTCAATCCTACGAACTTTGAAAATCTTTTTAGTTAGCACTTTATGCAACAGTAACAAGTAATTTTCCTAATTACCTTTTCCTTATTGACAAGATATTATTATTATAGATATTTCATAAGTTCATTGTTCGTCACACGCTTGCAGTCCACGTAGGTGACCTTTTTATATTCTTAGTCCTGCATCCGAGACGACTGACAATTTAGGTGGTCCTGCAGTTATACGTCGCGCTATAATCGTTAACTAACTGATAAATCGAATACGTGACTGCCACGAAAAAAACAATCAAGAGGAGCAAAGGTCCGCCTTCCGATGGTTAACAGTTGACATTTACGAAACCTCGAATTTACCACTCGAACCAACGTAATTTGATTCTCTTTTACAATGTTACCAATTAACAACACAGTGCCAATTAACAACACCGTTGGGTTCGCAACGACAAAAATGAAACTTACCAGAGTCGAACGGAGCGTCCTGATAGTATCTGGGATCGTTCGGCTTCAACGCGAAAGGGTGTTTCTCCATCAGGTTTGCGTCGTCGAACTGGAAAGTGAATTCCGGCTGGACCGGCTGCGGCTTCTGCAGCTTCCGGCCACCTTGCTTGATCAAGCCGCTTCTGTAGATGCCCTGGTACTCGGACAACGGCTCCTCCTTCATCCCTTTGTCGAAACGGTTTGGAGCATCGTAGGGCGGGCGCTTGAAGGACTCCGCCTGGTCGTACTCGTAGTCCTCGTCTGGCAAGCTCGGTTCCTCGTCGCTGTTCTCGCGCGGCGGATAAGGCAAGTTGTAGTTGAGATACTCGAGGAGGCTGTCGTAGAGATTGTTCCTGTCGGATGGCGGGAAGTACTTGGGCAGGTAGACCGAAGGGTAGTACTCCATTCCTCGTGGCGTCTCGTCGATCCGCTCGTTGTTCGTTAAAGCTTCCACAAGGCTGCTCTTCTTCTGACGGTCCACCTCCATCTGTCGCTTCCAGTGGTCCTGGTTGGCCAGCAGCATCGACAACCGAAACTGCCGACCTTGAGACTCGATGTATTTGACTAATTGCCTCAACAAGGCGTTCTCCGAGGTTTCCGGGACTTCATCTGCAAAGAACAACGACACGTTAACAATCACACGATTAAAACTAAATTTACACACTTTTCATTTCGGACGGTTTCAACTATTTTCAGCTTTCACGTTTATTTGTGAATGAATTACTCGCGATGGTCATCCAAAAGGTGTAAATTCAACGGGTGCGAAATGATTCCCGAAACCGCGTCGAATTATTTATATGTTCTCTATTTTTAACTAGTTCTACTAATGAAATCACTATTCGCGGTGAATTAATACCATTAACGATACAACACGTATTTCTATTTCTTCCTTGCTGAATGCCATGTGGAACACGGAGTGTCGATATTCTTAAGAGATTGTTGTTGAAAGATCTAATTTGGGGAAGTGGCCTGTGCAGCTGCTCAGGAAGAACTAGTCCATTCGGATGAAAGAAGGGAATGAGGAAAAGAAAATGGAGCACATTTGCAAATGTTTGAACGTACACACGCGTACATATAGAACACCGTGCATGTCTTATCGTTCCACTTCCTGACACTATCGTAACAGCCCGTATGTGGATTTCCTGTGTACGTCTGTAATTTATCGCGCGCTTTGTGCATCGCAACGATCCGATAAACGCAGGATCATCCAGACCTGAACTCGATCAACCCTCCCCTTCTTTTTCTACATCAAACCATTAGCATCCAATAACTGTTGATAAAATGGAAACAAAATGTTCAACGTTCTACTACGCAAGTGGATAATGTTGAATAGAAAAAATTGTCGTATTGCACATATTTTTCGGCCACAATATCCTTGATCGTTAATGGCCATAAGCCAAGCATTCAGGGACGAAAGAGATAATATTTCTAGGGAGCTTCTAACGAGAAAGTTTAATGTCAAAACGTATCAACGCTTCCGTACGCAGGTTTTTGTAATCAAAATGAAGAAGTGTATTTCGTCTGAACCAATGACCCCCAGCCAGTGCTAACGCCCGTGGACATATTCGCGCAACCGTATGCGGACAGGAAACGAGGCGAGCCAACTGGAAATGCCAGAACATGTCGCGTCTTTCTTAAAGACGAAAGAGCCTTCATTTCCCGGTCTAACAGGAAGGTATATTTCTCGGAGAACAAAGCCTGACAAACTGTAAAAGCGAAGATAAGAGCTATCAGTCGTTCTCTGTCCAGAACTCGCCATTTCCATAAAATCCGCATGCAAAGTTACCCGATCCGGAAGTCGCCAAAGTGCTTCTCCGTTAAAGATAAATAAACAAGTCGATTTATACGATTGTTTAAAACTTTCTATGCAGTCTGACCAAATGACCGATTGATACGATGTCGATTCTTATCGAACTGGCAAGTACTAAGCTTGATAGAATCACTGTGTGTTACCGGAGGATATAATGAAGTTGTTGCACTAATGATAGCCCCGTGATGAGAATTTCAAACGTAAAAATTCTATCAACGATTATTTAGCCGCTGACAGGATTGTTCAGTCATTTATTAACTAAGAAAGAGAATTAAATAATAACCAAGCATAGAAATCATCCCCGATAGTCCACGCAGGGTTGAACGTACGAGCAAAGCCTCTACAAAGTTACGATAGAAAAAAACCCTGACAATCCTTTGAAGAAACAATGAACTGTCGTCATTCGAACTGCCAGCCAGTCCCACTGTTAAACGCCGTGGATCAATGACGGTGCGAACGGAGTCACTGTCACTTCGACGACTTTCGAAACCCACAAAACCATGCTTCGCTAGACGATTGCAGATACGAGTCGATTTCCAAGCGATTATCGTAAAGATCGTCATCGTTGCACAAGAAAGACCCAACATTGACATTCGAACGGTTCGAAGCCATCGGCGGACTCCCGCGGAACGACACGGTGCGGCCGTCGGTGACGGCAAATAATGGGAGTTTTCGTGGCACAGAGCGTAAAAACACGGGAGGATAGGATGACCGAAAGGTCGCGGTGTCATTGTGTTCCGATGACAGTGCATCGTTGAGTCATTACCCCCGAAAACGCGGTATTTTTTTCGGCGAACCTTCGCGATAGTAAGCGCTCACCTCGATAAAACTTGAGCTCCCCGGTGGAGAGGGTGACGAGTACGCAACAGGGTAACAGCAGCCATGTGCAGGTGCAGAGGGACGGTGTCATCGTCACCGTGACGACTGCCAGGTGTCGGCCAGGTGTGGTATCCACAGGTTTTTATCGTCGTCCCGTCCGTCGTGGCTCCATATGTAAGCGCGTCATTTCATTGAGGGCAGGAGACAGAGAGAGCTTGCGCGGTCAAGTTCCGCTGCCAATCAATACCGCCATTACCCTTTCCACCAATGCCGAAGAAACCGACGCTCGCGGCGCGTCGCGACGCCTCTTGGCCCTGCTGCCCTCCCTTTCGAGAGACTATCTCGCGTTTATTCACACCCAAAACCGAAGTCCCAGCAATTCATCGGCACGGCTGAACAACCCCTCTGATCCAGCGAGCTCGAGTGCTACCAGAGCGACCTAGGTCCGCCGCTTCGCTAAGACCCATTAAGAACGTCGTTAATTGTCCCGACGCTTCTCGATGCACATTAACTCGTATTTATCGTATGCGATCAGCACGGAATTTACGAGGGTTCTTTGTGGTAGCTCGAGGACGTTCCGGTTGATGGCGCTATTTCCTCGTTAGGATGTCAGGGGAACCAGTTAATGCCCGTCGAACCCGGCCGCTAATTGCTCGGACGAATCTCGACGGCTTGCTGCCACGATCGATTAAAGTTCACCAGTCCCTGGAAGCAATTTGTCGAATAAGTTCCAATGACTTCGGCCGTGCCATTAATCGTATTGATCGACATCGTATAAGCTAATTATCTCTACTCGAGAACGCTGAGATTCGTCATCATGTACCGAATATTTGAGCAATGTTTAACCAAATTCTCTCGGCCCGTTTCTTTAATCTCAGACTATCATTTTCCGATGCCATAGCGCTCCTTGAAAATATGGTCTTTTCGATTGTTTCGAAACTAAACTTTAAAGAAACGTTTAGTTGTACTGCATCATCTGACGCAACTGTGCTACGGCAACTGCACCACGAATTTTATGGATTTATGAGGCAAAATGCAATTTACACCCTGCAAAATGCGAGAAGGCCGCAAACGACTTTGTGGAACAATTAATATAAAGCTAAAGAAATTTTCCTAGAAATTAAGCCATAAATACTGAAATCTGCATTGGCATCTGCAACCCAGCGACAATGAAATGGTAAATGTGAAAGCGGTAAAAATACGGAACCATTGGTATTTTCAGCATGGTGCAATTTCTATTGCCAATGCTGTACCTGGTGTGTATTCATGTTCTAGGTTTAGAATTTACGAGGGTTTTTCGTGGCAGCTTGAGCACTCTCGATCGATCGAGAGTGATCCTATAGGGGGTCCTGTTAAGTGCTCGCTCGATCGACCCACTAATGGAGATTTTCCTCAAGAAATCCTCTTTCCTTCGATTCTCAAAAGCTGCTGTATTTATTTCGGGTCTAAAAATTGGAGACTGAAAGTAGAAGTTTGCGATAACATAATCAGAATATAAATGATAATCTCCAGACCTTTGTCTTGAACTTTCGCATACAATTAGAAAATCGATTTAACTATACAATATTTCAAATATAGCCACGAAGTATCATCGGAGCGAATAATAACTAATTTCCGATGCAGGGTGAAATATCATCCAATTGCAATAATTCGGTCTAATAACAACTAAAATAAATTTGAAACATAATACGTAGTACAAATTATTTTCGGCCGAGCCTAATGTCTAAAAATATAGTTACTTGTCAATTGTCTTGTACAATCGCCTGAGTCGTCTCCAATCTTCCAAAATAATCACGGTTCCTCCTGTGGTCGCCAACTTCCGGCAAGCAAAGCGATTTAAATGCTCGCTTTAATTCAAAGGTCGGTAAAACTGTTGAAATGCATCGCGTTGCATGACTGAAAATTTTAATTAATTCGGCAGTTTAATGCCACGCGGTATGATTCGATTGAAGCGTTCGTTTATGGCACACCGTTTCTACTTGCACCTCTTATTTCGAAATGCTCGCGTGGGCTGTACATATCGTTGGACCGTTTTGTTCGCCGTACAGAGAACTGGAAATTGTGCAACAAATATATGTATATAAGACCCTTTCGAACCGCAGCCGTGCATCAGCCGTGTCTATTTTCCAACTGAAACGATTCGCCACGTGCAAACATCACCTTAATAAGCTTATCCGCTTACGTTCGGACACTCGCGAAAAACGCGTGGCAAACTGTTCAACGTTCGACCTGTGGCATTTGTTGAAAGGTTGACAATGCTCAGGGTTCAATCGATTCTCGCAATTTCAGATTTATTATGCGTCATATTTCGCATTCAAGCCAGGGAATTAATATGGATATTCGGAAGCTTTCAACGGTCTTAAATAATCGCGCGAGATTATTTCCAAACGGAAAGATCAGAAAATTATAAAATTTTAATAATTCGTAAACCGTGTATAGATACAAATTATGCAACCTTTTATTTACGACTGAATTTCTCTTTAAAGGGCTAATAATAACCTCTGAAATTTTGGCTGTATTCGTGGGAAATACTGCTATCCACAAATAATTAAATACTATACGAATGATCATATTTTGTCGAAAATCTTGGCGCACATTGTTGTACTTACGCATGCAAAAGTCGAGCGAATCGTCTAACAGCGTCATCAATCACGACTGTTCGAAGAGTATTAACCACGTCCAGCTGGGATTACACTCAGCGATTTAATCGCTCTAATGATACAGACTTTGTCCGCTAGAAACAATATGTTTTTTCGTGTCTTTCCTTAAAGGAAAAGGATGTCGTTTTCAAAAGCTTCGGTATGGTTGCGAGTAGGATAGCCGAAGGAAGACGAGGAGGATAAATTATTTAAATATTCATACAATTTATTTCATTTCAATCGAATACAATATTCTTACCGTTCGCATTCTCATTCGTTACATATATGTATTTCCTTCTTAGCTGGTGTATATAAAATTAACGCTTAGTTAGATTCAAACTAATATTCCTTTAATAAAGTCTACCAAAGATATTTTCTTCCAGAAACGATAAACAACTAACATACAGATTTATCTCAGGTTATTGTTTATAAATAAAATTACGACTTGCTAAAATCTATTTTAAATTAATTATTTCAATATTTTCTAGACTAATGCTTAAAAAAAAGCCTGATTACAATTATAATCATTTTTTCGAATAGAATCATAAATTCTTCAACGATTTCGACGATCGACTGATTTTCTCGGTGGAAAAAGTAATAAAAATTCATTAAAAAAGATTAAAATACTTTATTTGCAATATAATTCGTGGTCAATATCACGTACAATTTGAAGAGATTTCAATTTACTATTGTAAAACATTCTTAAGAAATTTCAAATAGATTAAATCGATCGTCTGTCTCGAAGCACCTCGATTATCGATTCTCGATACTCTGTTCCCGCGGCTTTCGGATGGACGAGTGCGCCTCGCTATCAACACTTTCCAACAATCTTGGGCAACATTCGCGCAACATTATAGATTTTTCACATTTAACACATAATATATTTGTACCTTAAATCTTGTCGAACAACGCTTGAATAATTTACACAAACCATCCTCCTGCATTTCCAATAAAAAATATCACAGAGTACTCGTATATAGAGCACCCTGTATAACCAGCGTTTAAATTCAAAAAATAAATTTCTTGTGTAGATTGCAAGAAGACACAACGATGATTCGTTTAAAACTTTATACACGAAGGAAAGACATAGAAAACGATTATATGCTATTTATGTGTCTATATCGCCGAGCAAAGATTCACCTTTCGAGGGAGCCCGTAATGGTTTTGCTTTCTCTGCCAATTTTTGTTTTCTCTTCCGGTTCACTACACCATCCGTTGCATCCATCATTCTCAATATTTGCGTTTGATCGGAACAATCGACAGGTGCGACAGATATATCCCTGACCGCTCTAAATTTGCCACAATTGTTCAGATGCTCGTTTTCCAACCGGAAAAAGTTCCATATGAACCTCCTGCAGGAGGAATATCATCTATTACTTTACGCGATCGATGTGCAATTATTATCTCATACTTATTATCCTCAAACGATAAAGGATTTTTAAAAATGGCGCGAAATCAATCATTATGATATCCCCGAAATATTACAACAGATAATGACGAATACTTGATTCTGGTTGCTATATAGTTAAGAACTAATCATGCTAAACAGCATACATGCAGAATATTTGTATGATATGTAGAAAATAAAAAACTAATGTTTTCGAATAACTAAAGGTGTAATATTTCGTACAATATGCAAAAGGCAAAGTTTTTTTTTTATATTGTAAATTTGTTTGACCAATTGTACGTAAGGTTAAGAACATAAGAATAAAATATCTGAATTACAAAATGCCAATTTCAACGATCATGGAATTTCTTGAGGTCATCAACTTCGTCATTCGTACGATCCATTAGGTGCATCGCTACGCTCGGTTCATTTTCTTCGTGTCTAGACGGCCCTATGAAGATATCCCGAACCGCCCGAAATTTGCCTACGTTGTACAGGTGTTCATTTTCCAGACGAAAGTAATTCCAAATGTACCTTCTATCAACTGATTAGTAAGGCGATTTAATATACTCTAAATGTTGTTCGTTACGATTAGAAAAAATGATATTGAATAATAAAATAATAAGAAGAAACAAAAAATGGAGTTATATATGTCCATCCATCAAGATTAACAAGGGACCATTCGAATATACATATAATATTTAATGAAACTTCCTTGTGGGTCTGAACGGACCTGATATCCGCCGTGCGAGGACCAATTTAAAAAAAATACACCCTGTATACACTTAGTAAATAATAAACAAAATAATAGATTAAACGAAATAGTGAAAATTACGTTAGACTTACAAAATATTATATAGGAATAAATAAAGTGGGAATAAAAATAAAATAAACGATACAATTCTTTATTAAAATTTATTAGTTTCATTCGGAGACATACGTTTGAGTAAGCCAGGTGTGTGACTGAAATGGCAACTAATGTTTAATCACATGCAAGCAAAAATATATACAAAGCTGAAAATGGCACTGTGTCATGCATAGTAAAGGCTACGAAAAATATATTTATTGCTAACTATGTAAACTTAATACTAACATACCTGAACACTTCCAATGGGGCAACAATGGAGACCATTAAATCCGCGTGCACGTACCCCATTTCAGTTAGGGATAAGGAAAATGCCCAACCAAAACGAAGAATAAAGTCCTCGATTATAGCAAAGTAGTAATAATACTGTAACACAATTGCATTAGCAATTAATTAATCGCTTCCGACGAAGGCGCTACCATTTACCGCTATGGTGTTATGCACCAAACTTACTGGAGAAGAGTAGACGATTTCTTCTCTAAGAAATTTATTTTCTCCTGCGTTGCTATCGAACAAACCCCAGTCCAATTTCACATCCCACGTATAAGCAAAACAAGAACTCATTATGCTTGCAGTTATCCACAAGTAAAAATAAGGATTTTCGGTCGACATTACATAATGTTCTGCAAAAAGAAATAACTATTAAGAACTTTCGAGAACTTGTATTATATCGACGATTAAAGAAAGAAAACTTACTAGCGTTAGTCAAATGTAGATACGAAAAAACTACAACAAAGAAACTGGTGGCGTACTTTGCTGCGTTCACAAGGTGGGGAAAGGCTTCTTTTGTGTCTCTGTATCGGCGCAAGCATTGTGCAAACCGAAACCAAGCTGGTAAGCAGGCTACGAATGGTCTCATGGATAATTCACGCATTATGCAAGTCTCTGCATCTAAAACAAAAACATTTCTTATCACCAGCTTCTAAGAAATTTAATTTTCGGAATATAGTGTATTGAATTATATACCTGTGACACTGGTCCAAGACGAATTTTGCACATAGAAGCAAACAAAATATTGAAAGTCCAAGAAAACGGTATGGAGAGAGTTCAATTGATCAGCAAGCCAAAAATCGGCAAAACCGACGTAGAAAAACGGGGCACAGAATATTCTCCCCAAAACTCGAAGCGCCCAAAATCTCGCCTCGTGTCGCAATGTTTTTGTTGGATTAAACAGAAATACTGCTAGCAACGTATACAATAACATCTATAAGGAATAATTCCATTTATTTCTATTTTTCATTTGAAGAAACATGGAAAAGTACAAATTCTTACAGGTTGAACGAAGGGCGGTATCCCCAAAGTTTCACTGTACAAGAAACCCAGTATCGACAGGGACCAAACGAGCCCGAAGACACTGGCCATTTCAATAATGTGCTAAAAATATGCTGTTAATTAACACATACTTAAAAATTTGTTAATTATATTACGGATATACCGTTCTAATATTGATGATTGCAAGCAACCTGTTCAGATAAATGATTCCTGGGATCAAGTTCGAATATTAAAACATGATTGACACCAGAAGACCTCCACCCATAGACGTTTATTCCCATGAGGAAAAAAAACTGGATCATCAGAAGCGGTCCACGATAAAGTCTACATAAAACTCGCCAATTATTATTATCTTTATACCGTATACCTACAAAACATAACAGATTGCTACTAGAGATCTCTGATGAGATACCTGAACAAACGTGCAATATAGCAAATATTTGTTTACCTGAAAGTATTACTGCTATGAGAAGTACAATGAAAGCCCCAGAAAAGATTCCAACTTTAAATGTGATCCACGGAGACAGTTGTTCTCCCAAAGGTGGAACTCTTAAACGTTTCATGGCACGTTGTCTGTCTCCCTGTTCCAAATCTCTGGTGACCAATGCTTCTGTTTCTGCAATAAGCCTGTCTATATCTTTGTGCGTGTGAAACAATGCTGTATCCACATGCTCTGCCCTCCATTTTGCCCCAAGATCTATATTTAAAAGCTGAAAAAATATAGCATAAATATGCAGCATGAATTATGCAACATATACATCCCTGTTAACTTTGGTGTACATGGATCACAGTGCAATATTTATTTACAATCATAGATAACATCTTCACCACGTGTTGCCTCTTTTTAAATCCATTATCAATGAAAACAGGGCTGCACAAATTATGGAATATACTCTACACATATGCATCCACTTTGTACATACTTTATCATGTTTCTTTAGTATCTTTCTGAACCCAGTAAAATTGAGATTCTGATAATTCTGGAGCAAAATGAGGAACAGATAAAATTCTGAAAAGGCTAGTTTCAATTCCTGGTGCTTCCGTGCTGAGACTGGTTTTTTGTGCAGGATGTTGTTACGGTATCTAGACTTGCGGCTCCCTTGTTTATCTTCTGAGACTGATAGAATTTCACTGAGCTCATTGTTCAGGCTTGCAAATCTGCGTGTGGCTTCTGCCAGCTTTTCTAAAGGAACAAATACCAATGAATTTTTAAATACGATAGAAAGTTAATATATAAGATTTAACTTACCTGAATAAAATGTATTTATTTTTGCTAACTCTTTATCGCAATAATGAAAAAATTTCTCATCAAATTTGTTGAAATAACGCTCTAATACATGAGATTCTGTCGTGTCTGCTGATGGTGCTTGTTCTACTGCTGCATATAACAGTGCTTTCATTTCCTATATAAAAAAATCATGACTTAAAAAAAATGTGTAAAAAAATTGTTTCGTTTGTATATATTCACATGAATTCATTCACATGAGTTCAAATTTTATTTTGCACAAAAGTGTAAAAAGTAGTTACAGAAATGAAAAATATTGGGAAATTAATATTTAGGGAATTGTCATCGAGAAAATTAATGTGACTTAGCAAAATAATAGAAGAATTTAATGTCACAATAATAATTTGTGTTGAAATTTCGGTTTTACCTCGTAGTTTATGTACTGTTTTCTCCATTCTGGTGTGATATGAGCACTCAGGTGCTCTGCGAATTTCATTTTCCTTCGAAGATTGAATGATTCGATGACAATAGTGCTTGTATTTCAGTAAATACGATAAAACACAGTTATCGAGACGAATGGTCCGTCAAGAGGAATCATAACGAGTTATTTTGGGAAAAACAAATTGAACTTATGAAAGATTCCTGCATGAAATTCGTTTAGGTTATGAATACCGCATAGTGCTCTCACAATACCAAGCATACCTATTTGAAAATTTTTACACGGTGACGTTTCGACACGTTTCACTGTATGTTATTTTTTAAACATTTAATTGACATTTTTCACTGTGCATTTATTATTTAGGTGCAGCATTTTGATAATGCTTTTTGCATCCAAAAGAATCAACGGAGAACACTGTTTGTTTATGATGACGAAACTAACATTTGCAAGATACCGACAATTACGATTGGTAACTTAATAATTAGTATTATTAACACAATACAATGCTAAATAATTAGAAGCTGTGATTACAATACAAAATGATTTGAATTCGTTCGTTAAATAGCAGCAAAAAATTTGCGATCTAAGAAAAAACTGTAAATTAATGATTATTTTCTCTTTTTTCAACAGTACTCAACAATAAGTGAGTCGAATAGTTTATACAAGTCTCATCCAGGCATAGTGAAGCCTAGGGTAGTAAACCAGCCCAAACAGCTTTATGAAGTAATTAGGTCATTTATTAGAGGTAACAAACAAGATAGTAATAATATTTATATACGGGGTGCCCCAGTTGAAGTTTTCTTCTGGTAGTCCTATTTCGTAAGTTCTATTACAAAATTTCATTAAAAAAATCAAAATTTACTTTGAAATAAAGGTAAGTCTGCCAGGACTAATTCTCCAAATAATAGGTAATTTGAGAGAAATTCACTGTAAAACTTGAAATGATGCACTCTGTACATTTTTGAATATTTAAAACATTAGATAATGTTAGGAAGATCTTTTTAAGATGAACGTATGAAGAAGACAGATATTTACGAAAATGCAAAAAAATTAGCTTTGCATCTACATGGTCGACATATTCCACCTGAAGTAGATGACTTAGTAGCAAAATGGGAGACAGTCAAATCTCGTATTGGGGGACATATAGAAGAGGAAGATCTGAAAAGGAATAGATATGCTAGAAAACTCTACAAGACCCTTGTTTACAATTGGGCTCCAATACAATATGATACAAAAACTGGATTAGCATATCTAATTAGTAGAAGCGTACCAGAATATAGCGCTTTGTACAAAATTTTTAATGAAATTAGAACCAAAGATACTGATTTCACACCAACATCATTGTTTGACTTTGGTTCTGGTATTGGAACAACTATATGGTAATATATAAAATTGTAACGTAGAATTGTAAACCTTGACCAGCGTTAAATTAATTGTGTGTGTTTAAACTTTATTTAAAAAATTGTTTATATTTTTAAACATATAGATATTCATTTTTTAATTTATTGTTAAAAGAATATCGAGAAATGCAAGTTTAATTTCATACAGGGCAGCATCCGATTTTTGGCTTAAGTCCATTAAAGAATATTATTGTGTCGATGTTTCTGCCAACATGAATGACCTGTCTGCACATGTTGTAAAAAGGATAAGGCCCGAGATAAATTTCAAATATATTTTCTATCGGCAATTTCTACCTGCATCTGCATCTGTAAGAATACTGACTATAACACTATACAATTTCTTTTCTTTGTTTTTATATACATTTTTTGTGTTATAGCCAACTTATGATATTGTAGTGAGCGCATATTCCCTATTTGAATTACCAAACCAAAAATCGCGAATTGAACTGATTGCGAAACTTTGGAAAAAGACGTCGCAGTACCTAGTCATTGTAGAACAAGGAACAAAGGCTGGCTTTGATGTAAACTTTGAATTTTCAGGTTTAGTTAATCATTTTTCTTATATACCTAACAACTAAAAGTTTGTATTTAAATAATAGTTAATAAACGAAGCTAGAGAATTCATTCTGATGTACAACAAGTCCGAGGTGCACGTATTTTCACCCGTGAGTATTTTCATATTCCATTATATGAAGCAATTAATTTACAATAATATATTAAATTAGTATACAATTGTTTCAGTGTCCACACGATTTAGAATGCCCTAGGTCGGCAGACGAAACTCCTTGTAATTTTGAGCTGAGTTACTTGACGCTACCATTTCCTGAAAAGTCCGAATATAAACATGAACGATATTCGTATGTGGTGTTCAAGAAAGGTATCTAACAAATATTCTTTGAAGTATTTAATAGAATTTAAATTCTTTTAGGTATTTAATTTTCACAAGTATGCAATTACAGGAGATCGTGCTGAAGATGACGATGGGTGGCCAAGAATAGTTAGGCCAGTATTAAAACGTTCAAAACACACTATTTGTCGTATGTGCACAGCTGCTGGAGAATTAAAGGAATACATTTTTACTGAATACAAAAATGGAAAGTATGTTTACAAGCACAAATCAGATTATACATATACAATGAGCTGTATAATTATCGGCATTAAATTAATATACTTCATATCTTCCAGAACCATGTACAAATTTGCAAGATGCAGCAAATGGGGCGACCGTTTACCTTTTGCAGAAATAGAAGAAATGACTACAAAACAGAAAACGGGAGAAACTGTCGATGTAAAGGAAACAGATGTAGAGGAAACAGACACAGATGAAACAGATGTAGAAGAAACTACCGAAGATTCCAAATAAATATGAATTCATATCACAGAACTATTATCTAAGAATATAAGTACATACATAGCTTCATTCAATTTTTCGATAAAAAATTCCTTTTGCCTAGTAGAAATACTATCAGACAATTATTTTTGTAAATAAACTTCCTTTTATGTACTGTTAATTGAGACAATTGTTTCTATCAATTTGTTTATATTTTATACAGTACCTGAAGACAGTGTATTAATAAAAAAAAACAAAATAAAATTCTTAAAAACTGTTTTGAAGAATTAAATTTTTTAAATTTAAATTTCTAAGACACTTTGAAGCATTATAGCGTTATTAGCATATTTCATTTTTATGCTGATGTCCCCGTTCCAGCGAAATTTCGATGAAGCCGGCAGTGATCCTATATTGTGCTATATTCTGTAGCTGTTATTCAACGACTTTTGCCCGTAAAATAAAAAGATCGACGGTGACGAAGAGGGGTATTTAAAAGCCGTTTGCGGGTTGGTCCACGGTCAGTCCAGCTTACACGGAAGAGAGAAGTACATTTCTCCAGGTACAAGGTAAGTTTGACTCAAGGATTCAATTGGGATCACTGGAAGGTCATTTTTCAAGTCACGTGACTCAACTTGCAAAAGCCAATTTTAATTAAATTTTTAAACTTTTTTAATTCAAAATTATTAAGTATCTAACAACTTAATAATTTCAGCAGCAAAAGAAATATATTTTCTACAGATACGTATTTATTATAAACGTGAATATTTCTAATTTACCATAAGCCAATGATGATTCAATTAAATTTTAAATTCATACTCAAATTTGAAAGAGAAGTGTGCAACGCATAACTAGGTAGTTTTTTATATTGTGAGTTTTTGTTTGCGTTTTGCTAACTTAAAAAATAATAATTGTAAAATATATTAAAAATGGAAAATAAAACATGTATTTCAGTGAGTATTAAGTACGTTATACTCTTATTTAATAATCTTATAGGAGTTATTACTGTTTTTTTTAATAATTATGAGTAAATTTCATTTTTGTATTTATGTTTCTTACTTGATTACTATTAAATGTTTATTCGACTTTTTCTACGCCACGAACTTAACAATCTGTCTTACACAGATAACAAATAAATAGAAACGCATTGTCACTATTAAAAATCTTGTGTTAGTTCGAAAGTCACTTTAAAGTTGGAAGGTGTGCGTTAAACGAAAGGAGGGCATATTTCAAAATGGGTAAACACATCGAAATGTGCATCGTTACGCAAGAAGTTATGAAATAATGTAAGTGAGTGTTTGCGCGGGTTCTTCCGTGTGCAACTTTCTCCCATACATCGACGTGTTTCACTTTCTTTCTCAAGTGCGCGAGACACGGCAGCCTCCTTCCATGAAGACCATCGATGTATAGTATTTCTTTTCATTATATATTAAATTACATGCAAATAAAAATAATAACAGAAAACGTAACAGATATTACAAAACAATGAAAGGGAAGACAATATTTCTAAGCGAAAATGAGCCCAGAATCCGGCGTACAATGGTTCAGGATACCATAACGCTCTAAGTAAAAAGCAACTAAAGTAATAAGAAGCTAATTATAAAATCATTATTACTAAGCTAATTATTACACGCATTATTTTTCTAATATATGGTGATGCTCAATTTGTTTATAGTATGCTCTACACAGTGCTGTTGGTGGTCATATTACTGTCTTTGCTGTTTTATTTGGGAACGCGAAAGCCGAGGGGATATCCTCCAGGTACGTAATTTTTCTTTTAATTAGCGAACGCATGGCCAGTCAGTATATATATACATTTTCTTCCAAGATAACACAGCTAAATCGTACCCTCAAAGCATAGTTCCTAGTTAATTGATAGCATTAGTAACGCTTCAAGGATTTCCTTATAATATGGTGTTTTTAATAGGATGCTCTCTCCTACATTTAGTCGTTTGTTGATCCAGAGAAAGTCTCGTGTTGCACAAGAAAAGAGATCGTCTTCCCTCGATATAAAATTATGATAGTGTCGAGGTCAACAGTCGAAAATAGATGCTGTAAAACCGAAACGTCCTTAACGTGTCCGAAAACGGTGAACTTTCTCGAGCAAATATTTCCTCCTATGACTCTCAAAGAAAATTTCCGGTCGTTTTTTCGAAAGTATCGCGAATGATAAGGGGGAACCAGTTAACCTTTACGTAACGTGGAGGATCGTATGCTCTTTAGGTCCGAAATGGTGGCCGATTTTGGGATCAGCGGTGGAAATCGCACGCCTTCGCGAGGAGACCGGTTATCTGTTCGAAACCTGTTCGGCACTCTGCAAGAAATACGGGCCTGTGGTGGGACTGAAGATCGGCACCGATCGTATCGTAGTTCTTAACGATCACGAGAGCATTCGGGCGATGCTCACTGACGAGGATTGCGATGGGAGACCAATTGGTCCTGTCTACGAGACGAGAACCTTCGGCAAGAGAAGAGGTACTCGATCTCCTCCAAATCCTCTTTTACCAACGTTGAATAATTTTGTTTACAACAGGCCTGATAGTGGTCGACGAAAATCTGTGGGTGGAGCAAAGAAGATTCGTGCTGAAGCAGCTCCGTGAATTCGGCTTTGGCCGGAAAAGCATGGCCATGATCATCGAGGAAGAGGCTCAATGGTTGGTCCAGCACTTCAAGAAGCAGATCAGCGTCGAATTGAACAGTAAAATCCAGTCGCAAACAGCGGGAATGAAGACAAAGTGCAACGGGGATGAATACGACGATGGGAAGATGTACAAGTTGATCGAACCGGACGCGAGAGAGAAATCGGAGCAACGCGCTAAAACAAGGAAACCATTGAAAGCTGCGGACTTGTACGTGGATGCCAATGAATATGCAGAAGTGAGGATGATGGCAGGGTCCAATCCTGAGGTAGTGATCCCAATGCATGACGCATTCGGAGTCACGGTTTTGAACACTCTCTGGAGGATGATGGCTGGTAAAAGGTTGTCTATTCTCCAAGTTTCTAAGGACTTTTAACTGGTAGACTGTAGACCTTTATGCATTTCATTAAACATTTTCAATCAACATAACGATCTGCAGTCTACTAATTAATGAGCGCTTTCACGAGCTAGAGGAATCTCTGGCTTCAGGTTCAATGTTGACGACAAGGAGTTGACCTATCTTCAAAGGATTCTGACGAAGTTGCTAACAGAGATCGATATGATCGGTGCACCGTTCGGTCATTTTCCTATTCTGAGATTCATCGCACCGGAAATGTCCGGTTACAAGCCCTTTCTGGAGACTCATCAGCAGCTGTGGAAATTCTTAAAGGTGAAATAATTAGGAACGAACAACAGGCGCGTCAATGATTCGCAAGACTAAATGACTTCGTTCTAGGACGAATTGGATAGCCACAAAAATACCTTCACGTCTGACTCGCCCAGGGATTTAATGGACGTGTACCTGACTGTTCTCAAATCGAACAAATATAGTAGCACGTTTTCAGGTGAATACTTGCAATTATGTTAATTACTTTTCCATTTTACTTACTCGCCGAGTGAAATGTTTGATCCAGAGGCTCAACTACTCGCTATCTGCGTGGATCTCTTCATGGCTGGGTCCGAGACCACATCCAAGGCCCTCGCCTTTTGTTTTCTCTATCTTGTCCTCTTTCCGGAAGTCCAAAACAAAGCCCACGAAGAGATCGACAGAGTGATCGGCCGGAAACGACCTCCGACACTGGAGGATAGAGCGAAGTAAATAATAACTGTATAAACAGAATTGTGAATGTTTTTTAATTATGGACGTTTAATTATCTGAGATTACCTTGTCTCAGCATGCCGTACCTGAACGCCATCGTTTTAGAGTCCTTGAGGATGTTTATGGGCCGTACATTGAACGTACCCCATAGAGCTCTAAGGGACACCACCATATTAGGCCACAAAATACCAAAAGTTTGTGCTTTGATTTTTAAATATGGAATCAAGTATTTTATTGTTTCGGGTATAATAGTTTAATCAATTTTGCTGCAGGATACAATGCTGATCGTGAACTTCAACAGAATATTGATGGACGAATCTTGGGGTGACCCTGAGGATTTTCGACCGGAAAGATTTATCGATGAACAGGGCAACATTATTACTCCGACCGCATATTTTCCATTCAGCATTGGTGTGTACACTATCAGAAAATTAACTATGAAGTATTTATAATTGAAGGGTCCGATTAAAAAAATTAATATTAATGGCAAGAGTTATTTTTTAAAATATCACCTGCCTCTTTCTCACTGAACCTTTCAATTGATTGGTACAGAATACAATATTATTTTATTGTAATAGGGAGACATCGTTGTATGGGAGAGAACCTGGCCAGAAGCAATTTATTTATCATAACCACCGCGTTGCTGCAAGAATTCACATTTTCTACAGTGCCAGGGGAAAAGAAACCATCAACCAAGGACTTCGTTGATGGTGTTACATCTGGTCCTAAGCCATATAGGGTATTGATTTCATTGCGAACGTAATGTCCATTCCATTAAGCAATTTAGGTCATTTAACTAATTCAATACTAATTCAATATTCATTTTGTAATCGTTTTTTCATTGATCTTATCGACTGTTGTAAATAGTACCACCACTTTCCTTAATTGCTCATTTAACAATATGTACGTATCATCGCGAAACTGACTTCACCTTTGTATCGTTAATCTAATCTTGGCTTCTATGAAAGTCAATAGTATTGTTCAGAAAAATATATTTTATTTTATACGAAAAT